GAGAAAATCTAGGGATTATGGTCAACGGTCATGTTTAGGTTACACATACGTGGATTCTCCTAATCCCACTGGATTGGCTCACTGGTAGATCTGCAGAATTCCAGAGAGCTTGCTTTGTTTTTAATGTTGCACTTCACAGAACACACTCAATTATCTTTACTTAGAGGTAAACCAAGGATAGGAAGGAGCCTACAGGAACTTTGTTCTTTATTTTGTGCACAGTGAAGAACACAGATTATATCCCGCTTTTTGTGAAGCATCATTAAAGAGAACACAAAGCCTAAAGTATCATTCCAACAGATTGTCTTAGAGGATGGTGGAGTGACTGTATAGTTTGTAAAACTTTGTACCCCTGCATTGCTTTATGCAGTAAGCAGGAAATACAAATCTGTGCCGACTTAAGGGAACTGTTCTACTCACACATTTTCCATTTCTAAAAAGATGCTCTTTGGAATTTTTATCAATTTGAGGACCACATGGAACCTACTTCAAACATCAAAGAGAGCCCTCCAAAAGGTGGTATGATCAGGCTCTGGGATGGGGCACGGGAGGATTTGTGGTGTTAAGGGTTGAAATGGGTACTTTAAGCCTCTGTAAGGATTAAGGTATGGATTTGCCCCTTAAATGATTCCAGTTTTTTTAAAAAGGGCAAAATGTGTTGGTGGTCTACATTCTGAAGGTCACAAAAGGAATGAAAGTGGTCTGCGTGCATGATACACTAATTGTAACTTTTTGCTCTATCATTTTTTATTCAGTTTTCAGTGAGAGCTGCTAATGAGGTTGAATCTGTTGAGTAGAGGGAAGCAATATTTTGGCACTTTGCTACTAGTTAGGAAAGCTAATGTAAATTTTGTATTTAAAAAGGTGAAAAGAATTATCCCTAATTCTAGTTAAGTGAATGCCATTAGAATTCATAGAAGTAATAGATCCTGAATCAAGCAGGAATGTTTGAGTGATAATCCAGTGACTCTGGTGCCATTAACTATTGATTTGGATCAGTGTGGAGATATAATTCCATCAATAACAAAAGACCTGTGAGTTGAATGAGTGTTGTCTATATAGAAAGGAGGTACACCTCTTCACAAAGCTTACTGTGTCTGATTCCACTTCATGTATGTGCCATTACATATCTGCAACATTCGTGCTGGAAGTACAATTAATAAAAAGCAACCCTGAGTAGGCTTTCTAGAGTAATCTATAATCTTAAGGCCTGTTTTCATATAGCTAAGCATAAATGGTTGTTCTGAAGGCTAAGGAACGTGCAGTTTGTCATTTATAATTTTAAACAGTACTACACATTTTTAAAAAGTAAACTTACAGTACTAAAAGCAAAAATCTCAGAAAGCTAAAAAAAATACAATCTTTCTGAATTTATATCCATTTTTGTTGTGATTTACATTGAAATTGGTTGTTTCCTTGAAATGCTTCTGGCTAAAGTTGAGCAGGTGCGTCTGGTGATTCCTTGTCTTTTATTTACCTCTCCAATCTATTTTGACTTGGAAGTAGCATAATCTGGCAACGCTAAGAAAAATATTTCTTGTACCTTCCATTAGCTGCACAAGATAAAGAAAAGCTTTAAGAATTCTTTTAAAGAATGGCATTCTTTAAGAATTTTAGTATTAAATTTCTTGTGTTGATATTTTAGATGCATCTCAGTGTTGCCCTAAATGCCACATTTCTAGGTGAATGGTGTAACAAAGGGGTGCTGAAAACAGCAGTTGGGGGGCCCATGAGAAATTCATAATGATTGGCAGATTAATAATTGGGTAGTACTTTCTTTTTCCTTCTTTGCTAAGAGGAGTAACATGATCAGGTTAAGTGATCAGCTTCTAATTCCCCTTGCTTTCAGTTGCAGCAATGTTTTAATCAGTTGCCGTCCAACTCCAGAACTTCAGGACACCTGAGCAGAAAATAGCTTCAGTCCAGGCAGTTCACTGCAGAGAAGGTGGTATTGGTCCTCTTTGCTACATGAACAATGTTAAGTAGGATGAAAAGTGAATGCTATGTGATGGGATGGGGCTTTTGATGTAACTTAAGAGCTTTTTTTCCTGCATACCTGGGAGAGAAGCTTCCAGAATATTCAGGAATCTGTTCTATTTATCTGTCTATCTATCTATCTATGAATGTGTATTTATAATTTTTATGAAATATTTTTTGAAAAGGGAGATAAAAACTAATATAAAGTTAAAAAAAGAAAATCAAAGAAAAAGTTAAAAGTGCAAGAAAGGGGAAAAAAGGTAATAGAAAAATAGAAAACAAAGAAGATATAAAGAAGTAGCTTCCAATCTTCTTTACAGCAGTTATAAGTTCAAGTATAAATTTACCTCTTACTCTGTGGTTACAATATGACTCTCTTCTTTTTATAATCTATCCTGTCTAATCATCAAAACCATAAATCATAAGTTCATTTTTTTCTGTTTCA